AAGTTGAAACTAAGACACTTTTTTTTCTCTTTCATTTTATTCCTGTATTCACACAAATATTAGTTACTTTTGTATCATAAATAATTAAACTTAAAAATTACTTTGAATAAAATTTATTTATGTGTTAAACGAAACTCGAAACATTCTAGTAAAAGTCTAGTAATAATGCTGCAATCTGCACTTGCACAATATAATAAAGAGTAAATAATATATATTGTTGTCTATTAAGAAGTAAGTGATAAACACATGCAATCTGTGTTTATTCGGTCTTTTCATCAAACATTTGGCCATAGAAACTTGATCCAGTCATTTTATCTTTATTGTATATAGCAACCCACACAGCACATGGTTGACATATGGTCAACCTATGGTCGTCACAATGGGCTGTGGGGTTAAGCTATGGTCAACCCACTGGTACCATATATGAACATAGGTGAACCCATGGCGACACATATGTCAGAGCCCTGGTTTGACCCATGGTCAACCCGACGGGTTCAATACGGGTATGCTATGGGGCTGGAATGGTATTGCGATGGGTCAAAATGGCGGTATATTGTGCAATAATGGTTGCATACTTTCCGTGCGTATTTGTAATAAATAATCCATATAGTAATAAATATTGAATGAACTAAAACTGCAATTCCATATGTAACATATTTATTAAATGGTATTTTATTTACACTACTACTAAATATAACTAAATTAAACTAACTTAACTAAATCATTATCCTAAGGTAATCATTATCCTAAAACTTATCATTATCTTATTATCTAGTATTATTAAATTTAAACTAATTATTTTATTTTTTATTTTAATTATTTTCATTATTATTATCATTATTGACATTCGGTTCAACATCACCTTCTAAAGCACTGAAAAGAACAAATTTTGAATTATTATAAACTATAGTTTTACATGTTTATTTTATATAATGAAAAATGTTAATTGACATTTTGGAAATATCTGGAATATATTTCAACTTACGGAGCACTCCGAACAAATCTGTCATGAGCATGACGCAGCCATCCTTTGGCACACTGCTCCACTTGGCTCTGCGTCACACGCTGTTGTTCAGATACAATATCTGAAAACATTATTGGTTCAATTATTTGTTTAAATAATAAATAGTTTAAAGTAAGTCATTTAATGCATTAATTAATACCTATAATCATTTTTACTATCAGAAGAGCCGAAAAATTCTTCTTGGCTTTGCCTCCAACCCAGCTATACTCCTTCGCTACCACATCCTTAAATACTTTTTTTAAAAGAGATATGGTAGCGCTTTTGCAATCTACGCCACCAACTCGTCCTAGGCGTGCTTTCTAAAATGATACAGTATATGTAATTGATTTGTCCATTTTATCCATTCAGAAACATATCATATTTACCAATTTTTCTGCTATTGACGCATCTGTCAATAGCTGCTCCACATCTAGCAGTTCTGCCTCTGTCCGAACAGGAAATTTATTATAAACTGCCAGTGTATAATCAGGCAAATCATTCGCCTTTTTACACTGGCAGCACTGCTTACTAATGCTGTCCATTACAGCTTGGAGCTTACTGTCGATGGTGGCATTCAGCTGCTCAAATTTTAGATTTATTTTTGTGTCCAGCCTCGAAATAAGTTTCTCCAAATCTGTTTTTTTAAAGTTGTCTTAACTTCATAATGTACATTAACATTGAAGTAATTAAAGTAATGAAATAACTCACTTTTGTACCCATCCATGGGCTCTGTGCTGCTCCCAGCACCATGGTCAAAGATCCTATTTCCATCATCATAATCTTAAATATAATAATAGGTGATATGATATGTAACATTATTATACTTTTTAGTAGATTACTTACAAGTGTTATTTAGACGCCTTGTATTTGGCGTTGGTCCCCTATTAACCATTACTGATGTGGAATCTAAAATTTTAGATTAATAATATCAACATAACATAACTTTATTTGATTTGCATTGGGTTTACTTACTGCTCTGCATGATATGTCCAAACAATCCGTTGTCGAAGCCTAAAAATAAAATGGTTTAAACTGAACTGAATTAAACATAAGATATATATAATATATATATTATATGCCAGTGTATATATACATTACACTGGCAGCAATGTTATCAAGCCTGTCCATTACATATTAGTGCTTGCTATCTATGCTTGCACATATTTGTTCAAAATTCTGATTGATTTTTGTATCCAATCTTAATAGAGTTTCTCCAATTCTGTTTTTTCAAGCTGTCTTAACTTCATAATGTAACATTGATGTAATTAATGTAATGAAATAACTCACCTTTGTACCCACCCGTGGGCTCTGTGCTGCTCCCAGCATGATCAACCAGCCTTCCGGCCTCATCGCAATCTTAAATATAATATTAGGTGATATGATTAATGTTACATACATCAATATACTTTTTAGAAGATTACTTACAAGTGTTAATTAGACGTTGACTTGGTGTTGATTGGTGTTGTCTATTAACTACTGATGTGAAATCAAAAATTTTAGATTATTAATATCAACATAAAATAACTTCATTTGATTTGCATTGGGTTTACTTACTGCTCTGTCCGATAAATCCGTTATCAAAGCCTATAAAGTAAAAATGAATGCAAGATTTACATTTGATAATAAATATTTAATTAAATACAATTTATTGTATGCGATCTTACTGTTGTTTGCAACAGGAGTAGAACATCTACTCAATAAAGTTGGTGGTGCAGGAGCTGGAGGCAAGACGCTAGGCTCGGAGTCCAGGTCAAAATCATCACTGGAACTTCGGTTCCTTCTGGCACGAACTCTCCTTTGTACCTTTCTTGCCTCCGCATCAGAAGTTATATCAGAATATTCGAGGGCCTCCTTCATTTTATCAAGTCCCACCTCAAATGAGTCTACAATCATAATAGAAATATATTTTGATACTCTTATTACTAATTATATCTGTTATGCTATCCACCCGTAGATGTAAAAACTCTGTGGACTTTGTATCTTTTCCAAGACTCCCTTGGCTGCATCATCTGCTTCACTGCTATATTGTACAACTTTTTATCCTCAAAATTAGGATAGAAAGATGTACAATCTTCTCTATTAAACCAATTTTTTGGGATTATATCCACCCCATCTTCAAATAAAACCACAATGAATGATTTTATGCTCATCTAAAATTAAAACCCAATTAGTTTACATTTTAATTACATTTTTATCATAAATTACTAGAATATTTGAATATAATCTTTTCATAGATTATTATATTCGAAGAATTAATCTAATGAATTGCTTACCTTGATGGTTTTATAAATTTTAATTTCAACGTGCAGAAGTAACCTCTATGAAACGCCTATCAAATCGGTAGGTGTGGCTTAACGCGGTAGGTGTGGTTAATATATTAAACTATATAATTATATAAAACTATATAATTTAATAATAAAAATGATTAAAATATTATAAAATATTTAATCGAATTCTATATTATTTTAGATAAAAAAAACCTTATTAATAAAGCAGCACGATAAACAAAACTATAATACAACCAAATACAACATAGAGCATTAGAGGTGCTCTATAATCTAGCATTTAAACATTTCATTGATACCAACCGACATAATTCGCGGTGAACAAATATTTTCAAAGTTATGTTTTTTAACATACGCAAATATTTAATAATTATTGCATTAAAAAGTATGAAAAATTGATCAAAAAGACTGTTAAAAAATACCAATTGATTGATATAATAAAAATGCAATTATTTGATAAATTAATTAATCCACCAGACAAAATAGTCTAATTCAGTGATGTGCCGCCGTGCCGCCAAAGATTTTGGCAGGCGTGGCTTGTCGCATGGGCATAAAATGATAGTACTTATTGATACCAACCGCCAAAGGCGTAAAAATATTTTCGAAGTTGAATGCACTAAAAGTTCCTTATTATAAAAATAAATTAAATTAAAAAAAATCAACCCATGTCTTATGCTCACGGATAAATATTTCGTTATTCATAGATTCCGATATATGTCGGAACCAAAATCCTTTATAAATGCCGTCATTTTGAACAAATAAAAAAAACTTTGACAAGCGTCTTCATTGCTTTGTGTTTTTGAGATTTCAAACAGAATGAAAACATTATTTATTATTATTTTAAGTATAGTATTTGGTATTATTAATCATCCATAAAAAAGATGTTTTTATTATGACTGATAATCACCCGAAAAAATAGTTTTATGAAAAAGTATGATAATGCAAGTATATATATCACTCCATTGGAATTCCTGCATATTTCCCAATATCTGTACCGAGAGGAAATACAACATATTTGTGAATAATTTCTGTTATGGGCCATGTTAATAAATCAGATGTTTCACTCAACATATATTCCCCAATTAAAGAGGATTTGCAGGGATGGTCATACAAATCTTCTTTCACTTTAAATTCTTTACCTATTATTACTAATTGATTCAGTTTTGTACAGAATGCCACATTAATTATATTCACAATTTTACCATTACGTAAAGCACAAAATGAATCGGACTTTTCATTAATATTGAATGTGAAATCTGAACAATATACAACCTTATACTGTGGATTACCACAATACTCTATCAAAGGCCCTTCGAAATGCATAGACTTCTCACAAACTCTAGACATGGCTACAGGCCTTACATCTTTACCTATAAAATGTTCTTTTACCTCAAAGTATCTTTTATAAATCTGCTGCAATGGTTTTCTGACTTCCGTATGTATTTTTTCAAGACCTGCATGTAATTCTCAAATTTAAAGGCACTAAATGAATCAAGTGTACCAAAACTTCTGGCGTCATTAGCTAAGTGTAATATGTTATGTATATTATGACTTACATTATGATCTCCATATAATACCTTAAAACTTTCAACAAAATAATGAAGTAGCTGCTCAACATAATCTAAAAGATCAATTCATAATGTGTTGCTACATAAAATTTTAATAGCAACATGTAAAGTAAGAAATTTTTTGTAAAAGTCATTTGAAATATGAGATTTCAAAACTACTGGACCACTATACAATAATAATTGTCTAAATTCTGTAGCTTTCCATGATCTCACATATTTCAATGATCGAGGCTTCCTAGCAAATTCCTTGGGTATATAAATCTTTAAGCTGCATAAAAAATTGGAAATGTCATTAGTTTTAGCATATGGTAAACGAATTGGAAGCTCACCTTCAGTCCACAAAAGCATCAATCTCTTAACAGCTCCTAAACAAATCAAATGCATATAGTCAAGTGGTACATTAGTAACTAAACCAATGTACGGTATTTCAAGCAATCTCGTATAGCCATTGTGGTAGTCTTCATCTTCTAAGCTTCGAAAGTGTTCATCAGTTCTTGCAGGTGATTGCATTTCTGGAAAGCAAATTCTGCGATTAATATGTGAACCACGAACAAGACATTTCGAGCAACTGAAGTAGCCTGTGTGTCCCTTTGTCTGCAATATAAATGATTTGGCGGGAGTATCACAAACAAAATATTTAATGCGTATCTTATAATGTTTCCCATTGTGATCAAAACCCTCAGTGCTTAATATAATTATTTCATCGACAAAATCACTTAAAAATTCATTTGAATCTTTAGGTTTCTCAAGCCCACAGTAAAGTCCAATAATAAATATATATTTGGTAAGAATTACAGAACATAAGATAGGCCAAGCTGACATGTTCGAAGAATTTGAGAGAGGCAAACCATCAACATTAATTTCTAATTCGATGATAGAAGATTTCAATTTCAACCTATCAATAGAATCTTTCAATCCAGTTAATAAACCAAAATGAATATATTCACCTGGACTTACAACTTTTGATACAGCAGTCCTTTTTGTTTTCAGAAGTGTTCTACTATCTGCTGGTAAATCACTGAAACAATCATGAAGTTTTAGCCCTTTAAGTAGTGCAGATACAGCATTATGAGGTATCTGATAATTCACAGCCCACTCTGCTAAAAATTGTCTTGCATCAAAAACTTCAGTTATATCATCATCCTCGCTATCTGAAAGAGAAGAATAATCATTTCTTTCAACATCGCCCTGTAACTCTGCCTGGTAAGAAGACGGTCCTTCAAAGTCATCTACAATAGAAGCATTAGTCGCAGTTTCAATATTATCTATTGTACAAGCACTAGTACTAGGCAAATCAATATTATCCTTTTCGCATTCAGAGTTCTGCAAAACACTTTCCGAACGTAATTTCTGCATTTCCCAATTAAGTCTTCTATAAAAATGTCTATCTGACACAGTCGCAATGTGTTTGCGAATTTTTTTTATCAGACATATTTATTTATTTATTGACAAATTACAGAGTCAAACAACAAACAAATTACGAATATATTATATTCTAATATTGTTCAGGATTTTAGTAGCATAAGTATACTTTTACAGCACTCAGTTTATACTTATTTATCTATGACAGTCTGGAGTCATCAAACAAAGAATTGCAAATGACGCCGAACAACATAGAAGTGCCGCCATCTGTGCGCTAGTTGCGCAAACGCCGCGCACGCGTATGCGCATGCGCGGTATATTTGAATACATTTTTCATTTGCCCATAACAACACGGTGAGTAATGGGTAAGAGTGGGTCGACCATTCTTTGACCCGGCGCGTAACGTATGGGTCTAAGCCCACTGCGTCATAAATTGGCCCATAATGGGCTTATAATAACCCTGTAGGCTGTAAATGGGACCAAACAGGTTGACCATTGCTTTACCCGTGCTGTATGGGAAAGTAACATTGAAATCATAAGATGAATTTTATACTTTTGGCTGTAATACTATGTAATTGCCCAACCAGTCTCTTTGACTGGCATAATGAATATAGTGTTAATAAATTTCATTTCTTATTCAACTTTTAATATTCCTTTTTTGTCTGATAAGCAGTATAACAATTACCTATGTGTAATGGTACACAAAATTTTTTTACGAAGAAGGTTTTGCTGGTTTTATAAGCAGTAGCAACAGCTTGTGTTATTTATTTATTTATTCTTTATTAACTTCCCGTAGGGCAAGTTATAGTAATCGCAAAAAAATCGAAAATGAAAATTTTTGTATATCTTCACGTTTCAGATTGATGCTCCACAAGGACATGGTTCTGACACTATTATTCCCAGCCTTTTCAGATGTGCAGGGAAGTTGCCATGATTAAGTCTCAGTCTTGTTATTGATACAATAGTACCTCTGTTTTCCTCTGCATATTTCCGAAACCACGATTTCATCTTCAGTTTGGGGTTGACTACCTTGTAGTATTGTCCCTTTGTCTCCGACGATCTGTTCCATTCTTCTTGCCATTTGTCTAATATTTTTTTCTTTGAATTAGTCATATAATCCTTCCTAGTGGCTAGGTTGATCATCGTTCAATATTCCGTAGCTCATTTTGCTATTGAGTCCGCTTCTTCGTTTCCTCTAGAATCAGAGTGCGATCTAGTCCATAATAATTTAACTATGTACCTGTGCTCCAATAGCTGTATAAGGCTATTCCATACTTCATATACTAATGCCTCGCTTAATCTATTAGTAAAAAATAGATCTTTCAATTTATCTAAGCAGCTTTTGCTATCGGTAACGATGACCACTTTAGTGACTTTGTGGATTTTGATATAATTAATTGCTTTTTTGGGGAGTTCATATCCTATTTTGTAATGAAAATGTGTGATACTCACAAAAAATACAATTTATTATTTAAATTAAAAATATTACCTAATTAAAATTATAATTTATAATAATCATCACCAGTTTTAATAATTATTGATCCTGCAAAATAAATTTATATTAAAAATTAAAACTTGTACATAATGGTATCATAGATTATAGTATCTTGAATATGTCTCCTTTGCTATAACATAGTTTTTTTTTTCTTCCGTCCCAGTCATTATCGTTTTCATAAAATACAGCACAGCCAGTTTTATTATTAATTTTTGACCCGTCTGTAAATATAACTTTATAATCCTTTCTGTTGATTGCATTCGTATTGAATATTTTTTCTAAGGTATAACTATTGTCTAATGTGAAGAAGTTATAATACGGGTGTTTATTGTATTTATTTGTATCTCGTCTCGTTTCGATTACCTTTAGATAGCTATATACCAAGCTTGGCTTTGGACGATTTCTCCAATAATCACTGGTTAACGTATTGGTGGTTACAGTCTTAATATTTTCGATTGCTCTATTATTTTGTACTTGGTATTTTTTAAGAACAAATTTGTTACTTAAATATTGGTATCTTGAATGCAAAGGCATTTCTCCACATTCCACCAACAACAAGGCACAAGGTAGGTGTGGAGATCATTGCCCCTATACACAATCTCAAACATTTATATTGGATTTTGTCTAGCTTTCTGCAATGTGAAGAATTACTGAAAGCTAGACTTCCATAATCCAATGATGGTCTAATTATTGTTTTGTACAAATTTAGGGCTGTTGTAGTGTGAGCTCCCCTCAATGTCTTATTTACCATACGTAAAATGTTGATTTTTGGTTCAACTTTTATGATTGCCTGATTTATATGTGTTTTGAAGGATAATATTTTGTCGAATGTGACACCCAGGAATTTATTGGTTTCTTGTATTTTGAGTCTATGGTATTTAGTCGTTAGTGATGTTCTTTCTTCTAGCTTTCTGCGTCATGTAAAGACTCCTATTGCGCTTTTTTCATCCGATAATTCCAGTCCTTTCTTTGCGAGCCATTCATGGAAGTGATCTATGTTGCGACTCATCACCTCATAGGCTTCCTAAGGACTTGATTTTTCTATATATACTACGACGTCATCTGCAAATTGTAATAGTGTAATATTTTGGTACCTGTTCCCCATATTTTTTTATGTCTCTTACATAAATCGAGTATAAGATGGGACTAAGAATTTCTTCCTGTGGCAGGCCTTTGTAGATTTTTCTCGGCCCTATAAGTTTCCCATTTATTCGGAAAAAAATCTTGCTCTCTCGGATGTTAGTCGTAATCGATTTTATGAATTTTCCTGGTAATCCAGTGTTAGCCAGAGTATCTTCCAGCACTTCTGGTAGGACGTTATCGTACGCACCTTTAATGTCGCTAAATAAAGCAACGACATATTTGTTTTTTGCCATTGATAGATGTAGATCTGTTATAAAAATTGTTAAGTTGTCATATGTTCCCATGCCCTTTCTAAATCCACGTTGGGATTTGGTAAGTATGTCATACTTTTCTATCCCACCATTCTAATCTTCTCTTGATCATTCTATCTTTGACTTATCACTTGTTGCCCCCAATCTTCTATTACTTCTGGATTCAGCCAAACTTTGTTAATTATATCTACCAGTATACTTTTAAATTGCACGTTCTTAATAAAACAACTCCTGGAGATTCTGATCCAAATTATATTGACTATTACTTTATTATTTCGTTGATGCCGGTTGAATGAATTCGGTCTTAACACTGTTTCTATTTCATTCTTGATTGAGAAAAAGTTCAGAATTTCCAACATATGTCAAAATGAAGAAAGCATTTTTTTCAAAAAAAAGTATTAAAAGTATTGGTGGCTTTATTCATGGCAAACTCAGCAACCGTCAAAACCTTGTGCATCTTTCTATTCTCTCGGTTAGCTTTGCCAACTTTGGTGTAAGAGTCCTGTTTCATTGCACTATCTGCCCATTTCAGGTTATAATATGAACTATGGACGGTTTTTCTATATGATAGCTGACACAGTAAGAGAACAGCGCAGTATTGATCATTAATAATGAAATGATGTGATATTCACGAAAAATACAATTTATTATTTAAATTAAAAATATTACTTAATTAAAATTATAATTTATAATAATCATCACCAGTTTTCATAATTATTGATCCTGCAAAATAAATTTATATTAAAAATTAAAACTTGTACATAATGGTATCATAGATTATAGTATTTTGAATATGACTTCTTTGCTATAACATAGTTTTTTTTTCTTCCGTCTCAGTCATCTGAGTATGCTAGAACAACACCTAAATATACTATGAAATCATCTTTTTTAACGTAACACAGTTTCTCTGGACAGCTTCTGCAAATGATTATTCAATAAATTTGAATACACAACGTTGTTAAATTATACTTCATATTATTAAATAATAACAAACTTATACTATTAAGCAGCGTGTGATCCAGCTTTGGCCTCAGGGGGGGGGAGGGTCCGCTTAGTAAAATAAAAAGGTCACGTGATCAAAAAGTTATGATTATTTTAAATAAAATTCATGTAGTTTATTAATGTAAATAAGTACTCTGCACCTGAAAATCGCAAGATAACATATACAATAAAAATAAATATATAAATAAAATATATAATAATTACTAATTACTCCTAGCATTCTTTTTTCTAATTACTATATTTGTTACAACTGCTAATAAATAATAAATAATTAACATCTAGTAACAATAATGAACAATAATATAAATTTAAATAAAAAGAGTACAAAATAAAGGATATAATTTTCAATAAAAAAGATATCCGTAGTATGTTGACTCAATATAAAATATGAGCAAATAATAATAATAAAATTAGTAAGTAAAATAGATAAAATGTCTGAATAATAAAAATGATACGAGAAAAACAATAAAGTAGATTAAAAACAATAAGTGAAAGATAATAATAAATATAACAAATTAGAAATAATAATATAATAGAACAATAATAATAATAATATTAATATTAATATCAATGTTAACATTCTAATATGTAATTGTTACAAAAAAAACTATTTTACAATAGATAATAATTACAAAACATACTTAATAATTTAAAAGATAAGCAAAATAAACATTTTCAAATTACAAAATCAATTTTTGTTTTATGTCTTCTCCCAAAACGCGTTACTACATCATCGACGTCAATCGGTATATTTTTATATAGATGGAGAAGTGCTAGTCCTCCCAAACGATCTTCCGCAATCGAAGATCTTATTCATGCTTTTATTCTACGCAATGGAGAGAAAGACCTTTCTGCTGTAGCCACACTGACAAGTAGCCATAATTTGTAAAAAATTTCTTATGTTGGGATACATATCAATGTTACAATTTGTAATAACTTCATATATTGCCTGCGATGTATCCTGGGTCCACAGCCTATATTCATTTACAATAATAAACACTGGAGTGTTATCTAGTAACAGTTTATAGTCGCCTTACAGCTTCAATGTCTTTATTGTTAAATTCGATTTTTGGCATAAAACCATTCAGCTTATATAAATTAAAGTATATCATGACACAAGCGGTCCTGGAGATCTACAAATTTTAATTGAGTTGTCTCCTTGAAACTGAAGATGCCCATCATGTCTTTCTGCCCAGTGTGTTGTACAAATACGCACGACAGCTCGAAGTTTTAACTTTAAAATCGCATGCCTCTTATCAGATGCATTGGCAAATGCCACAACTTTTCCTATTGAGCCAGATGTATTGCGGCAAGAAACTATTTTCGATGATTTTGCTTATGCATTATTGATAACATAAGGGGTCGTCCATTAATCACGAGAGCTAGTTTTTAAGGATTTTTGGACCCCCCCTGCCCCTTGGTGATACGTGGTGATATTCAAAAATACCCCCCCCCTCCCACACCAAACATCATGTGTATTTTTAGTTACGTAAAAAAACAAAAATTTTTGATTCTTTTTTTGAAAATGTTTGAATTTTTTTAAAAAAATTAGTTAAAAAATAAATACACGTGATATCTTACTCTCCCCCTGAAAATCTCACGTGATTAATGGACGCCCCCTAATTATCGCATTGGCAACGTTTAACATGGGTGGCAATTTTTATTAACTCTTACACTGCACCTTTTGCATTTGATGCCATAACCGAGCAGCTGTCAGTTCCTTTATATGAACATATAACGAAATCTCTAGAATCACAAGGATATGTAAATAATGGATTTATATCTTTAATTACTAGACACACAACAGACAGACAAAAGTATTTATAGAAATAATTGAGCACACATTTTACATTGTTATTTTTTTTATACATATTGGTCTACCCGTGGGTGCTTTATATATCATATATGATCTTAATATATGTAAGGAATATTGATTGTGTATACAATATGTTTGTATGCATGTACTAAAAAAGGAAAAATGAACTTTCTCCCAAAAAAAAGTCCTGGTGCTTTCCTGTTCCATTTCTTAACTATTGTTTTTATTTTGGAAACTGTGGCAGGGTCTATTCGTAAGTCTTTGTCCCTGTGGAGGTCAGTGAAGTCTTGAATTGTCTCGTGTACGTCTTGTCTCAGGTCTGCTTTTGACATATTGGCATTTTGTTTATGTTTGTTCTCAAAGTTTTTTGCCAATATTTCCGCCTTGTCTGCTGGTGTCGTTGCGTAATTGTTGTCAGTTAATTTGAGTGGAGGTATGGATGTTGGTTTCCGCGTCAGTCTTTTTGCGGTTGGCCGAATTTTATGTGGGTACTCCGTTCATGTTATCTAGTTTTTTGGTCCAAATGTTGTTTCGGTGGTCACGTATTTCAATGGAAATAATTTTTGTCGTCTGTTTACATGTTCCTTTAGTAGTCTGTCACGAGGACGTTGCCACAGTTCCTTTGTATGATTTTTAGGTTTTATTTTTAATAAAATGTTTTTTTAATAAAATTGTTGGCTGGTGTTGTTCTTGTGTCTAGTGTCGGTGTAGTATGTTGTACAGCGTCTGTGATTGTCAGTGTAAGGTGTGTCACAGACTCCTTAATTCAGTGTTGGTATCGATTGGCATTGTGCGTCGTGTGTTGTCTGTGTTGATGTCTCTGAAATTGGCCAGTTGGTTCTGGAGTAATCTAGAATTTTACGCTTGGGAGTCTGGTCGACGTCGAATCTGTCTGTAATGGTCATGAAAATTGAGTTATGGTCGGAGTTAAAAAGTGTTCTTGTGATGGGTTCGGATGTTACGTGTAGATTTGTTGTCAATGCCAGGTCGATCGTACTGTGATGGTGTGCCTGTACGGTGGCGTATCTGGTCGTTGTGTCAGGATAGTGTAGTTACTGGCGTTCCAAGCATCTTCTGATGAACGCATTGATTCAATTAGTGTTTCTGGTTGAATCCTTTGCTCTAAGATTCTTTCCAGTTTATTCCGCTGTGCACTGAAGCGCGGGCACACAAAGAAAACATGCTCTGCATCTTTATTAACTCCTTGGCAAGCTGGGCGTTCAGGAGAATCATCGTGCTTAAATCGGCGAAGATAAGCCCGAAAGCAAACCGTGTCCAGACAGCATCTGGGTTAAATAATAGTTGACCTCTCCGTGTCTCCGGTTCAGCCAAACGTTGATCTTACGTATAAGACGGTGCGTCTATCTACCCTTTTCTGCGGCATCCCACTGTAGTTGCCATCGTCTTATGCTGTTACGACGTTCTTCGGTTCTGAGATCATCAGCGCTTAGTGTCGTTGACCTCTTGCGTTGGTAAAGATTTTGTATTTCCACAGCTAAGACTCTAAGAGGCAGAGGCCCGGCAATGACACATACCGCTTTCTCAGATATTGTGCGGAAGCCGCATACTACTCATAAAGCACTCAAGCGGTATACAGGACCAACTTTTCTCCATGATTCTTGGAGCTCTAGTGCGTCTTCCCAAATAGGTATTCCATAAGTGAGCACTGACGCAACTACTGATGAAAGTGTAAGTCTTCTGCTCTGCTTTGGTCCGCCGATGTTAGGCATCAATCGTGCAAGACAAGTTCTCACTACAGATGCTTTGTCACTTACTTGTTTTACATGCTGCTTAAAATTTAGTCGGGCGTCAAGTATCACTCCTAAGTATTGGGTGTAAGGTTGCGATATGATCTCTTGTTCACCGACTTTCAGTTTAATGCTCTCTATAGTTTTTTTGCTGGTGATGAGTGCTGCTTCCGTCTTTTGTTTGGCTAGTTGAAGACTAACAGTATCCATCTACCGATTTACTTTCTCGAAGGTAATGTCGAAAATATGACGTATTTCGCCTACATGTTTCGCAACGATCACTACGGCTACGTCGTTCGCATATGCCACTAGTTTGGCGCGTCTTGGGATATTTTAATCTCAAAAGCCCGTCATACATAACATTGCACAGAAGTGGACCAAGAACTGAGCCTTGAGAAACACATCCGGTGATATTATATTCTTTTGGGCCGTTCATCGTGTCATACTTCAGGACCCTATCCGTAAAATAGCTTGCCACTATTTTACATATGTAACCAGGTACATTCTTTTCTTCAAGAGCTTGCATTATGCAGTGCCAATTTGCGCAGTTGAAAGCGTTCCTGATGTCTAGTGTGGCCACAAGGCAGTACTCTTTTGTACCTCCCTTCCATCTTGTTTCTTTGATTGCTTTTTTAGCAGTATCGACAACTAGCTTTATTGCGTCCAGGGTTGATTGTCCTTTCCGGAATCCATACTGGTTGTCCGCAGAAGTGGGTCAACGACTGCCTCAATTTTTTGGTGAATTATTCGCTCCAATATCTTATGGAGCTCCAATATCCAGCTGTATCTAGCATGTAGAGTGGACGGTAAGATGACGGCTCTTCTGTCGTCTTATTTTTCTTAGGGAGTAGTACAAGCCGCTGTTGCTTCCACTTTCTGGGAAAAGTTCCTTCTTTCAGGCATGTGTTGGTAAACATTGCTGAATGTCTCTGATTTCGATTATTTCTTGTGGCCCTTTGCAAAACACTTTGGCGTCATCTTCAAGAATGCTAGCGATTGCCTGTTGCAGTCCTTGATCCTTATCTACGCACTTCCTCGAGATTGTAAGCAACATGTCTCCGGTCCTGGTCTTGTTAATCTTATCTACTGTCGTCCGGACCTGCTCGTCAGGAATGTCCTGTTTTAGTCGACGTAGTATCTCGGCATACTTTGCCTTCTCTGCTAGTCGAATTAGAACTACGTCTGGTTTGAGAAATGTCCGCGTTTTCTTCCTCTTAGGTTCCGGCCGGCACTCTTTTGGCTGCTGCTTCACAAGCTGCTCTTTGGCTAGCCTTCTTTATTCTTTTTTTGATTTGAACCTTATGCCAATCAGTCACCTAGTTTTGTTTGGCTTTCTGTTCTGCCACAATCTTCGGTGGACTTTATTTTAGGTCTTTCTTTTTCACGATCTGGTCGTACGTCGGGTCTGGAGAGTTCCGGTCCTTTCTCTTTCCAGTGCTCAAAATTGTTTTTACTTCTTCAGCGACGGATTCATCGTCGGCTTCGGCTCCGGTGTCTCTCACTTCTTCAATTACCACAGCAGTTTGGCTGTTTTTCTTTGGGATGCCGTAGGTCCTCCAACCATCGATTATCGAGGTCGAGTAAACGCGTCATGGCAGTTGCAACACTACTCGTTTTTGTCTTAATCTCCATGTGAATGTTGGATTTCTACTTAATCATCTTGTGGAGGTCAGTTAGAAGTGTTTCGAGGCGTTTCAGTGCCTCCATCCTTTGATTTTACTGTGGTGTTGTGTGTGGTCAGGTATTCGTAGAGTCTGTTTCCGTTTGCATTGTTGAAGTTACAGTTCCAAGATATGTGTTGTGCGTTAAAGTCTCCTGCCATAAGTACAAATCTGTTTGAGTCCAGTAGTGTTTGTAAGTCCGTATGTTGCAGTCCGCTTGCCAGGATGTTAATCGACATTGTAGTTACTTTTTGATTACTCTTTTATACATTGATAGCTGTTATTTTAGAACCGCCCGCTGTCAGGTTTGGCACTTGCTCATGTCTGATGCTAGACTTGATCAAAATTGCAGCGCCGCCCCATATGTCTGTCTGTCGTTTCTGTAAACTTTGTAGTTGTTGATGTAGAGTACGCCCGTAGGTTTCAGATGTGTTTCGTTTATCAGCATAATGTCCAGATCGTATTTTGTTAACGTTGTTTTTAAGTCCGTTCGAGTTGAAGTGCATTAAGTGTATGCCGCGCCTGTCGTTTATGGACCTGCTGTCAATAAGTTAAGTATTGTGGTGTACTTGTCATTATATGTCATGTTAATGTTTAATGTTTTAGTCAGTTTATAAAGCTCATTGAATATCTCTTTTACCTCAGGGTCCGCGAACAGCTTCCTAATCTCCCCCATAACAGCAAAGATTCCTGCCGGTGTATTCAGGTCTGGACCTGGCTGGCTGCAGGCAGGCCGGATTGGCGATGCTGTAGGTCGGATCGGTGGTGAATTTGGTGATGATGGTGGTGCAGGCTGGACCGTTGTTGGTGAAGACTGGATCATTGCTCTGTATGGTGACGATGGGATAGGGAGTTGTGAGGATACTCAGTTTCTGACGTTGGGATCATTGTTGTTGAGATTACAGCTGACGAGAAGCTTCTCGCACTTTATACACCTGTACTTTAAGTCACAGGTGTATGATGTGTGTCCGAAGTTTATAAACATTATTGCACTGCAGCACTTGTTCTGCGGCCTATAGCCCTTCCAGGAGAAGATATGCCCCCCAATATTGGCGATGCGTTTTAGCTCCGACATGTCCTGGCTTTAATTCACTATTACTACTATGTATATGGATAGCTTATGTTGACTACCGTCTGATTGTTTCCTTTTTATCTGTA